TCTGGGAGTAGGGGGAGGGAAAGAAGGGGGGGAGTGAATGAACGAGTTACCTGACTGGGTTTAAACCACGACAAATTTATGTGACAAATGACTTAAGATTTTCAGTGCACCACATGAAAATAAAAGATATCTTATAAATATCAAAAGTTTTAATCCAAATCTTGACCCCTCTAAAAGCTGCAAGAACCAAGCAACACTTCAGAAATCTTAGTGAATGGAAAGTTTTTGTGCAACATGGTTTTGTCACAGTTAATGCCAGCTCCAGTCTGAATTTAGTGTTTATTCAAGCACTTGGAATCTTTTACATACAATTTCTGCAAAACAGAAAGAAAAAAAAAATATCCTTTGTACCATATATCACAAAGAATGGGCTTGATTTTATACCAGATACAGAGAAATCTCAGAGGTACTGAAATCAATTACAAAAGTCCACCTCTGAAGAGGTTAGCATTTCACCCAAATAGAGGGACATTCCTTACCTTATTGAGAAATACTTAGTATTAGTAATTGAAAAGGATATCCCCCATCATTACAGGAAACACAGCCATTGCTGTAATTCAGGAAAACTTAATAAATGTATTTTCATACATTTAAAGTAATTGCACAGATGCAAGTCTGCTGAGAGATAAGACCAAATATACAGCAGACATCTTTTGAAGTGACTGAGAGACTCAAAGCTCTAAAGGGTTTTGCTTGCTGAGCAAATTAGCTTTAAATCTTCATACTTAAGATTTGGAAGCTAAAGTAATCACTTCCAAAGATTTTTTCCCATTTCAGTACTTTTTCCATTACAGATCTAATGCATGTCCTTTTGGAGTGCAGCTGCTTTGTTCTCCTGCATAAAGAAGATAATTAGGTCTAATAATCTAACTTCTGAATTATTGCTATTCAGGTTGTATAGACCCATGGAGTTTTTCATTCAGTGCTTGACCATTCACACAAACACAGTAAACTGAAATCCTGTTCTGATTAAAAGCACAGAGAAGCTAGAATTTCCCATGGGATAGGGAGCATTCTTTTTCTAGTAAGTGAGGATGCTATTAATATCCTTCCTGCCATTTTTGTACAAGCAATGTGACTGTTAAAATTGGGATGAAGAACTACATGATTTTCAAAGTGAAGCAAGAAGACTGTGTGAATGAATGCCACTAGAATTTGACAAAAGATGTTATTAATTTTGTGATTAAACTGTGATAATCCCTGTGTATTTCTAAATCCCCATAAACTGTTTCATAATGCTTAGGAGTTATTACTCGTACTGTTTTCTGATAAGCTATTGTCATGGGAGATTTTCTTAGCAAAGACTTGAGTAGGAAATTGGAGAGACTTGGCATATTTGAAGTACCCAGAAGAAGAATAATTTCCTCCTGGGCTAACTAGGAAATCCACTAGTTTTGGATTTGAAGGTTGAAGCTAGTATTAAAACTGCATAAAGAGAAATTATGAAGTGTTTGAATGGGCTTCTGCATTACATTGTGTGGTTCAGCTTAATCAACAGAATCTTCCAGTTGACTCTGGGTGTCTGCAAATAGGTATTTTCATGTTCATTTTGTGTTCAAATGATGACTGTCAATCCAAGCAGCTTGACCAATTCATTAAATTGCACATCAAATAGAGCTCCAACCCAAAACTCTGATATAACAAGTCCTGAGAAATACATACCCGTACAATCAGAGTGAGAACTGAGAAAGCAATACCATGGATCACTCACCAGTGATTTGTGCATTCATTTGGTTTTTTTTTAAATATCACTCAGTAGCCATCTTAGGATGAAACACTTCTGTGACATGGTCCAGTGTGAGGTGTCCCTGCCCATGGCAGGGAGGTTGGAACTAGATGATCTTAAGGACCTTTCCAACCCTAACTATTCTATGATTCCATGATTCTGTGTGTATTGAATGCAGGATGGGGACAAGGTGGGCAGCTGGAAAACAAGAAGCAGGAAAATGAAAGAAGGTGCTGTCTTGATCCTTTGTGCAGTTTATGACCTTAAATATATCTGGTCAAAGCTCAGGGGATGCATAAAGCTTCCTGACTGTGAGTCTGCTGTCTCTCTTTTACTAGGAAAGCCCTCTGCTTTTATCTCAACATTTTCTTTAATAACAAATGTGGTAAATAAAAGCCTGAGCCCCTGGTTGCCTCATTCTTTCTTAAGAATCCATTTTGAAATACGTAAGAGGCAGCACTAAATGCCTCCTTAACTAACGTCCACTGGCATAGTTTGTCACATAGTTGAGCACCTTTTGTAAAGGTTTATCTGATTTTAAATTGCTCCCTGTCAGAATGGTTGCGATCGATTACCACTAAAAATCCAACTTCCCTTTGTATGCCGTTAATTGCCTGATTTTAGTTCTTCTCCTGCAATATAGATTCCTGTTGCCTTAGCTGCTTTTGCTTAATTTCTGTGAACAGTAGTTTTTGCAGGCCTGTTTCCCAGACTTATGGAATATATATAGGAAATGTATATTAATTGCTACAATATTACTTAACTTTTATCAATATTTATATTTTCTCTTTTTGCTATCTCTTATTTTGCTTGAACTTTTAACATTCCTCTGTAATTTCTAGAAGTCCAAATGGTTTTTGCCTAACCAGCAAATGGCAGTTTTTCCCCTTGCTACTTAAAACATTTGTTAATGATTTGGAAAGCTGAAGAAGCATGCGTTAGCGGAATAAACACCACAAGAGGAAGTAAAAGCTGTTCTCTTAATTTCTGCTTTTCTTCACCATAAAACAGATATTGCTCTGAGAAAACAGTAGTGTTATATTTTATCTAAGAAACCTTGGACATACGGTAAGTACTAAGCACCATTACCTACACATCATCTATACTTTCTAGCTCAGTAATCTGAAATGCTGCAAGCCTTGGAGAGGTGGGTCATGAGGCCTCATTTTCCAGGCATAGGTAAGAAGGAACCTGCATTCCAACCTGTGGTCATCGAAGTGAATGCTAACAGGAGAGTGGCACAATATTGTCGTCCACTGCTCCATTACAGCCACCAGCAGGTCGGGAGTGACGGTGAAAGCAGATGAAACCAGCGCCTTCCCTGCCAGCAGTTCAATGTGGGAAGACCATCATGCTCCTCCTTACACTGCATTGCATGCCTCAGCTGAGTAACTAGGGAACATGCTCTGTGGTTTAGTATGATCCGGTTGAGTCTGGTTAGTTCAAAGAGCTGAAACGGTGGCACAGCAGCTCGCTTCGACTGGACTAGGCAAAGGAGTGAGTGCTCCCCTGAGGAGCTCAGCCAACAGCTTGCAGCAGAGCAGCGTTGATGAGCAGTTGATGGCAAACTGGTATTCATCATGTTTTCCATTAGCACAGCTAGTGCCAGCGAGAATATTTGTCCTTCGTTCCCTTTTCCTGCAACACTCTAAAACGAACTACTAACCATGTAGAGTGCAAGACCAGAAGCTGGAGCAGTCAGATTATTTGGCACTTCTGAGTAGCTGTTTGCTGTTCATCTCCCCAGTCAAGGTGTAGTAAGAACACGCTCACAGGTTTATGTGCTAAGAAAACCATTTAGTGATGTTTCTGCTGCTTTGGCACTCATTCCTCTGCGAGACCCAGGCTGCACACGCAGTTGAGCTGCACTGTAATCATTAACATTGGGAGGCTGCTTTTTGGCAACTAGACTAATGCTAAAAATAAACTATGCAAAGAAAAAAAACCCCAACCATATAAATCCATAGTGGGAGTCTCTTGCTTCAGAAAGTACCATGTTATTTGAAGATACTTTTTAGTGTCTTTCCCATGAGTAAAAGAATGGAGGAAAGTTTAATAATGTAGTGTTTTTCCAATCACCTGTGCAAGTCACCCCAGACAACAGCAGTGGCACACACAAAGCATAGAAAAGTTTGGAAAATTCTCAGATACGCATCTCACCATACTAATAAATTCTTGTGTTATAAGGATGCTGTTTACTACACATCATCCTTAGAAAATAAAACAGAGAGGAATTCTATTTCTCTTTATTTGATTACATGGTAAAGTCTGTATTTTTTCATCCCTGAATGTTTTTTTCATTTAACTGGAAAATTTAAAGACAGTCTGACCTTCAAAAGGGGTGTCTGTGCATGTATGTGTGTGCCTCCTGAGCCTTTGGACTTGATTTTCCACAAGTACAGTACTGCTGATAGCAAGTGTAGGTAAAACACCGTAGGTTAAGGAGATTTTCTTACAGAATGCATCATACTTTAAAAAGTGCATGCCTTTGGTGTGCCTTTTACCTCTGGGGCTCTGTCCTCGAGCTCAGGTCTCAAAGCTCTCCTCTGCAGTCAGAATGCCTGGTAACCCATTTAGGCATAGAGGCCGCGGGTCTCACAACCTCTCAGCCGCAGAACACGGACGTCCGATGAAGAGCCGGGTACAGGGGCTGGACCTCGGGCTGCAAGGGGCTGGCAGAGGCCGAGCCCCAGTGCCGGGTGCCGCTCCTCGCCTCTGCCCCCAGCGGGGTCCGTGACCCCGCGGTGGTGCCAGCGCGGAGCTGGGCAACGTCCTTACTAATCCAGACCACCGGGGCTCGTTCTTCGGGGCGTCTCCGACGGGTGGAAGGAAGCCTAAAGGACGACGATGAGGAAGGCGATAACAATTAAGTGTAATGGTGACGAAGCCCGCTCCAGCAGCCCGGGACCCCATTTTTGCACCCCGCCGGACCCGCAGTGGCGGCGGCGGCGGGGGTTAAAGGACACGGGCAGGCCCAGCTGGCTCCGCGGGGCGCGGCTGTGCCTGCCCACCCCGTCTGTCCCCCCCAGCCCTCTGAACGCCCGGCAGCGTTGCTCGCCGCTCTCCCCCTGCGCCGCGGTGTCGGGAGCCCCTGCGCGGGCCGCGGGCGGGAGGACGTGCGTGTCCGCCCGTCGCGGCTGCTGCCATCCCGGTACCGCCCGCTGCGGGAGGTCCCGCCCGCGGGGAGGCTCCGGGGCCGGCGGGTGGGCGCGCCCCTCGCCCGGGGCCTGCGGCGGGGGCGCCGGATAAAGCGGTGCCGGCCCGCCCGCTCGCCGCCACAGGGGCGGCCGGGACGGGCCCAGCGGGGCGCCCCGCCATGGCGAGCCCCGCACGCCCGCGGCAGGAGCCGGCGGCGGGAGAGCGGCGGCTTCTTGGAGCGGCCCCGACGGTGCCCCGCGACGCCAAGCTGATGCTGCTGGAGCTGCGCCGCTGCGGGCGGCCGCCGTCCCCCGGCCCCGGCATGCGGCGGGAGGAGGTGGAGGAGGAGGCAGAGGAGGAGGAGGAAGAGGAAGAGGAGGAAGCGGCGGCGGGCGAAGACTGTTGCAGCAAGTGCAAGAAGCGGGTGCAATTCGCCGACTCGCTGGGGCTGAGCCTCGCCAGCGTCAAGCACTTCAGCGACGCCGAGGAGCCGCAGGTGCCGCCTGCCGCGCTGTCCCGCCTGCAGAGCCCGGCCGCCGCCGAGCCGGACCCGCTGCCTCCCGGTGAGGACCCGCCGCAGCCCACGCCGCGCCTGGTGCCCGACTTCCCCGACGGCGGGGAGCCCAGCGCCGAGCGGCTGCAGCGGCAACGAGTCTGCCTGGAGCGGCTGGGGCGGCCCGCGGCGCCCACCGACGTGCGGGGCACGGTGCGAGTGTGGGGCGGCCCCGGCCCCCAGGAGGTGACGGTGCGCTACACCTTCAACGAGTGGCTCTCCTTCTTGGACGTCCCGGCCGCCCCGCTGCCCCCCGACCCGCCGGCCGAGCGCTACTGCTTCACCCTGCCTGTCCCGCCGAGCCTGCGGGAGGGCTCGGCCCTTCACTTCGCCATCCGGTACCGCGGCCCGCAGGGCGAGTTCTGGGACAACAACGGCGGCCGCAACTACACTCTGCGGTGCTGCGGCTGCCTCGAGATAGGCCCCCGCGATTGATGGGCGCCCGACCGCAGCCCCGCGCCAGAGGCCCTCTCGGGGGGGGCCTCACCCCGGAGAGTCCCCCAAACCTGGTGGGTTTTGAGCGGCTGCTTCGTTTTTTCCGGCAGAGGATGGACGTGCATAGTGTCGCGTTGCTGTGGCTTGTGGAATCGTTTTCCTTTTACTTTGTGGAGAGAAGAAGAGACTGAGTAGGGCTTTGCTTTTCCCCTCTTGAAGTGAATTTTTGGGGTCTTGGTTCAGGCTTGACTGCACCTACCTGATTAGTCAGAGCCGCACAGAGCGCTGGTGTGAAAACTTTGTGATGCGTTCGCTCCAGATGTAACTTTGGATCCAGGTTTTCCTGTTCTCACATCCATTTCAGAGACAGTACTGCGACAGCAGTGGTGTGCTTTGTGTTTTCAGTTATTTTGTTAGTTGAATGGACTCCGTGACAGTACCATTCACTGCTGTGAGCACCCGTCAACCTCACGACAACCCTGTCCGTACCACCTTTACCGTGCCTGCGGCATCTCTGAACAACAGCCTGTCCGGGGGCTGGCTCTGGGGCTGAACTGGGCTGCTCTGGTTTTTGTCACTCCGCACACTTCGATACCGCTCCCTGCCTTCCCCAGGCCTGTGCGCACATCCCTCCTGGCTAATAGCAGCCAACAGGGACTTCTGCAAAAATGTTTTTGCTTAAAATAGACTGGTGACTTCTCGCACAGATGAGGAGTCTAAAACCGGGACAGAGGAGGAGTTAAAGCATTTGCTGATGCTGCATTTATCAGGAGAACTTTAGTAACACCTCTGAGTAACTCACTGTGAAGTAAAAGCTGGTGTCCGTCTTGCACACAGTTCGGCATTTCCAGGTTTGGGGAGTGGTGACTGGTTTGGATGACCTTCTCCCACAGGAGGATGCAACACAGAGGGTGTCCTCAGTAACAAATGAAAAGACGTGCCTTAGTTCAGCTCTCCTTGTATTACATTTTGCACCACATTTCTCAAGTATTTCTAATTTATTCAGCTTATTTTGCTACGTACTGTTCAGTGTTTGTATGTTGCTGGGAAAGGGGTTTGTTGTGCTCACGGTTGGGCTTTGTCACGCTGGGCACTTGAAATGGTTTCTGTAGTCTTCACTCTTGCCCTGCGAGCTTGGTTGACTACTACTGGTGCCCCAAGCCCTGAAATTAAGCAAAAAGTACCAATGAGAATGGGTTTGTAAGAATAAAAAAAGCTTTAAAAAAGTGAAAAAGCTCACCATTACACATCCTTCTTTTTGTGTGTAGCAAAACATAATGGGATGCTTACTGGTTTTGCAAACTGGCTGCATTCCTGCCCTACCATGTGGGGTGCAGAGGGGCTCGAGCTGTCGGTGTGCCTTGCTGTAACCGGGGATGTTGCCTGTCCATAGGCAGCAAGGCAAATTGCCCTGTAAGCCCATGACGGGCCTGTATGCTCTTCTAAGGGGCATCTTGGGCAGAGCTGTGATGTGAGGAACCTTTACTAGCATGGGGGGTAAATAGCCAGGTGTCGGTTGAGTTTTGTTCTGCCTCTTCTGCAGCTTTGACTCCGCTTATTTTCTTCTGATACAGTGTCTTAAAATTGAGGGTAGTTTTTCTGATGAAAAGATCAGTGGGTAAGACACTGCCAGAACACAGAAAATACTGTGTCATGAATGTATGTTCTTCAGTAAGGCCTGGGAAGATTACTTTCCTTTTAAAAAGAGAGCCTATTGTGTGAGTTTTCTCATGTCTTCATTTCCTCTGAAGATGTAGAAGACGTAAACATGTGGAACATCTCAAAGCCCATTACGAGCACCTTAGAAAAAATATCTTCCTTATGTAATTCCCCATTCTTGAAAATGAATCTTCCAATAATCTGCCTCTTGGGAGAGCTGGTTCAGAATCAGAGCTAGAAGCTGGGGGTTTACTGGGGAGGTGACATGAAGCAGAGGCAGTGTCAGACTTCTGCAGTTTTGCTAACACAGGCACTGCTTCTGAAACACAGCCTGCTCTCCCTCCTCCCTGAACCATAGAATCATAGAATGGTTTGGGTTGGAAGGGACCTTCAGAGGTCATCTAGTCCAATCCTTCCTGCAGTGAGCAGGAACATCTTCAACTAGAGCAGGTTGCCCAGAACCATATCCAGCCTGGCCTTGAATGTCTCCAGATACCTGTACATAAACCATTGTGTGAGAATATGGCCAAATACAAAGAGGTGTTTAGTTCCTTCAGAAACTGCCTTGCTGTTAAGAGTAGTACCAAGTTTGTTTTAAAACTGCCATGTGTTACAGGATTACAGGATATTAAGTGGAATAATCTAGTATGAATTAGCCTTTCTTCAGATACTTGTGTTAATGGTGTGCTCTTACAACGATACGTGAAGCTAACAGCACTGAAATTGATTCTTTAAGTGCAAGGTAGTATTTGAGGCTTCTGGAGCCCATTTCTTAGTCTGTGTTTTGTTTATTAATTGCTTTGGAGAATAAGGAAGCTCTGCCAAAAAAGGGAGGGGAGGGATCCCTCTCTCCTTGAACAGAATTTAAAGAACAGCCATATCCTGGTGGCTGTGTCTGGGCAGGGCTCACACAAGCCTCAGACACACTCACTTCTTAATCCATAGCACATTTTTGTACTTTGAAGAATTTACAGAAGCACAGATTGCCAAAGCAGGTTTCAAAGACTGCCTACACACACTGCTCTGCATTTTCACAGATGAGCTTACTGGGGGCTACAGAAATGCAAAGCCTCACCAAAGATTACATTGGGCAGTAGTGTAAGAATCCGAACCAGACCATGTGTGTACTCCATGCTGGCAAGCACAGGGCTGCTGCTTGTGGTAGTAGGCTGAGATACATGGCATAATTGCAATTTTACTCAAGAAATGCTTCAAAATGAAGTATTTTTAATTGTGTAAAATCAAAAGTCCCAGCAGAGTAAAGCATTAAGTAAGCACTCTTCTTGTCTGGTTGCATTACTGTTAATGTCGTATTTTATAAAGATTCAGAGCATAACTTCTGGAGAATGTGCTCATAAACACCCTCCCTCCCCTAACCTGAGATATCAGAAATGGTAAAGATTTGTAAGTGCTTTTGGAAAAATTCCAGCTCCAAAGATTTTCATTGTACTCATATTTCTGGTTTGTTTCCCCATGGATTAAGGGTTTAGGGGAGAAACAGCTGCCAAATGGTTTTATAGGTGTATGTAGAACCAGAAAGTTCAATACAGTTGAAACTGTGCTGAGTAACTGTGAAGGACAGCTAAGTTAAATCTTCCTTGAGCCATTTTTTGCCGCTTACATTTAAATTCAGATCTAAATGATTCAGAAAAGGACTCTGAAGCTAAATTTACTTTAGTGTCATGAAGAACCACAAACTTGCATGCAAACTAGTTCTGTTTTATTTAAAGCTGGGGCTTTCAGTCAGTACTTGAAAAGCCTGGCTTCTGCTCCCATTGGCTTCTTAGGGATTTGGATCTGGCCCAAAGTACTGCAGGAAGGTAAGGGAAATGATCTAGGTTTAATTGTCTATTCTGTTCAGAGTCTTGTGTTATGGGGTTAGGGTAACACGGCACTGTGATGAATGTTCATCTGTCAGGAGTTCAAAATCTGCTGCCTATTGCGTGGCTGTAATTAAATCACCTTAATTGTTTTTCATGATTCTTTTTAAGAGAGGGAAAATTACTTGCCTTGGATTAGCATATTGCCAAAGACTGGTATAAATATTTATGGGGTGCACTCTTTCAATAGAAAGCCTTTACATTCTTCACAGGTCTCCATAGTTCTCTTACTCCGAACACATAAGAGAAGTCATTTGAATGCAGTACTTAATACCACTTCCCTCTCTTGTAAGTAGATACTGTGCTTCACAGTAGAAAAGGTAAGTAGTCCAGAAAGAAGCACCTCTTGTCACACATTGATGATAACTTAGTTTTCTGTGAAAGCTGCAGAATCCTTTGAAGGTGAACATGTTTGTGATACAGGTTTGAGAATTCTGAATTTTTTTCATCTTACAGTTGTAGAAAATACACAGTGGTAGAAGAATTACTGCCTTCTCATTTTTCCTGCTTCCAGGGCTCATGCACCATTTTTGTGTTCTAAAACACCGAAAAAAAATAAAAAGAATGTAAACTCTCAGTAAAAGAGCTACACACCTTCCATCCTTTTTAGTTTTATAAATGTCATCAAGCAAAACATTCCTAAAAGTATGAAATAATGATGCCTGTGTTAAGAACTGTGGAACAAAGCGATCAGTATACTCCCAGTGTGAATAATGGTAGGATTTCACTGTAGATCATTATGGAAAACTCAGGAAAACAGTCAGTGCACAGCTCTTTCATGGCTCTGTTCTTTGTTTTGATGTATGGTCTATGCTGGGTATCTGGGGAGGTGCATTTATGTCGCATTACAGAAAGGAGGTTGAGAGGCTGGTGCTTCTCCATAAAATTATTGTACCTGTTGATGTTAAGAGGGTGAATGTAATGCTTTTAATGCCTGGAAACTTGGTGAGGTTTTATACAGAAATAACTTTTTAGAAATCGTTAAAATACTTCTTGGCCTATTTCAACACTGTATGTAAAGCTTTCACATGCTATTCCCTCGAGTTGCTTTCCTCCAGGACACCTGTACCTCTGATAGATCTGGGCATTCCGAAACTGAGTTTTCAATTGCAGTAAAATCTCCTGGGAAGCTGTAACACACAACAGAAATCCCTATCCTTTAAACAGTTACTGATATTAGACAAATTGTTTTTTTTTTCTTCTTCTTACAGAGCACTGTTTCCACGTTTATACTGTAAAAGTCACGACAAACTTCAGGGCATGTAAACATTCAAATTTTGGTGCGTACTGCTGAGGTTAATAGTTTGCTAAAACATTGAGACCAGGGACAGAGAAACATTTTTAATATAACACAAAAGCAAGCTTGTTTTCGATAAGACATTGCAGCTTTAGTAAAGATACTGCACTCCCTTCTAAGGAAAAAGGATACACTTTTTATAATAGCGGACATTGTACATAAGTCATAGGAT